CAGACTCCCCCCGTGCCCCTGCCCATCCCAAGGGGAAGGGGGGGAGGACCAAGGCTCCCATAGCAGCCCTTGGAGCCAGCCACAGGCATGCAGAGAGGATGCCCTGGGGGGTGCCCGTCAACCTGTACCCCCCCACCACGATCCCGGGGAGCTCCTTAGGGCAGGATGGTCCATCCTGGTCTGGCGGTGCCGGGAGCTGCCGGGCAGAAGGAGAGGCCGGGGTGGGGGTCTGGGTCACGCCGCCTGTCTTAGCCCGGCTCTAATCGCCCTGAGCGGCTCCACCACAAACAAGGGCAGTTTGTGAAGCTTAATCCCCCGCTTTGGAGGCCCTTTGCTCCCCCCATGGCCGCTTGGCATGAGGGGGGCACAGGGACCAGAAGGGACTTTCTGCCGGGCAGGAGGGCAGAGGAGACTGGTTCCCTCCGTGGGAGCCGGGACTCGGAGCAGGGAGGGCAGCGCAGGGGCTCCCCGGGCTGGCCGGCCCATGCCAGGCTCCAGCTGGATGCCAACCCTCCTGGCAGGTGCCGGAAGGCACTGGTGCCGGCTCAGCCTTCCTGGGAAGGGCTGGGCAGCCCTCGTGCCTGGCATGTGTCCGGACACCTCCCCAGGGGCAGGCGTGAGGCTTCGTGAGAGGTGCCCATGCCCAGCCTCACCCGTCACTGCGTCTCTGCCCACTGTGGGCTGAGCCCTCCTGGACGCCTGAGCCCACCGGCAGCCCAGAGACCACGGGGATGGGTGTCCTGGGGAGCCCCTGCTGCAGGAGTTGCCCTGCCAGGAGGAAGGCTTGGCAAAGGCTTCCTGCACCCTGCAGGGCTGCCCTGATGCTGGCCCCGATGCCCGTGTGAGCTCTCCCCTCTGTCCTGCCTGCAGAATCCTCCATCCCCATGGGGCTCTGTGCCCACCCCAGCGACGTGGCACTGTGGGACTGAGCTGTGAGGAGGAGGAGAGCAGCAAAGAGGAGCCCCCTCCACATGGTCCCACAGAGCGGTGCCCTTGTCCCGCCACTCGTGTACCCGCACTGGCCCCCGGCTCGGCTCTGCCTGCCAGGGAGACGCCCCCGATAAGATCGCGGAGCCGCCGCGCACAATCGTGCTTTCACAGCCCTGGCTCTGCCAGGGCCACAAGGAAAGGCTCTCGGTGGCACAGGGCGCCCACCGAGCGGGACCCTGGACCACGGCCTTGGGTGCTGGGAAGGATGAGCTGAGGGTGCCCTCGGCAGCCCAGGGTCGGATGGGGAGGGAGGAAGGAGTCAAGCAGACCCCAAAGCCTCCCAGCACTCGTGTGCTGGGCTGGGAAGATACACGGGGAGCTGCATCCCACCGGAGCAACTGGCTCAGGCTCTCTGCAGCCCAGGGGCAATTTGTTCCCCGCCATCCCATCCATCCCTCGCTCTCTCCCCACCTTTCCCGACCCTGCTTGTCTGCAGGCCCTTGCCAGGGCAAAGTACCCATTTGCTGTGACACCCTGGGCACTGGCCAAGCCGAGGCCGGCGAAAAGCACCTTTGCCCGAGATGCTGGAGGGCGGTGGGCAGCGCAAGGGGCCGAGCCACCCCATGCTGCTGTGCCCACAGCGGGAGGGCAGGAGGCCGCCCCACTGGTGGGGACCTCCGTGCCAGCCCTGGGCAGTGCCAGGGCAGCGGGAGGCCGTGTGCAGGACGGAGTCGTAAACACAGGGCTAAGGTTGAAGGCGGGGGAGATACGCTATCTCTGGGACAGAGGGCTGGGGCCGGGCGCAGCATTGCGGGGCAAGGGGTGCCCGAGCGGCGCTGCAGAGACAGGCACTGGTACGAGACATCACAGGGGTCTGGGGGACAAGGAACCCCCCACAGCGGTGCTGGGTGGTTCCTTAGGAGGAATGAGGGCACAAACTCCTGCCGAGGGGCTGGTGGCTCGGCTGGGGTCCTGGGCAGCTGGGGGTTACGGAGGGCGCTGCAGGTGGCACCGG